ATACAGAGACATAGACACACACACGCATCGCGCGTAGTGGTAGGAGCGAATTGTAAATTCTAATTAACGAAACGCATTATTCATACACGTAAAATATACGCGCGCCATTTCGTACGTATGTGTACGCGCTCGTTCGCTCGTTTATATACTAGGGCTGCGCAAAATTATATTTATCGTTATTTTCGCGAAATAAAAAGTGGGCGCGACGTTTTTTCCTTCTTTTTTTTTTTTTTTTATTCAGGTCGTTGTCTCATCGCCTCGTCGTCGTGACGTTTGATCGAAAAGTTGTCGCGCTGAAAAATACCTACGCCAATAATAATACTCGCAACGCGACTCCCCCCGCATGTAGGTATATATACATAAGTTAGGAGAGTAGATAACGCAACTGCGCGAGAGGGAGAGAAAAATTTAATTAACGAAGCGTCGGAAATAATAATAATAATAATAATAATCATATAAAAAGGTATGAATGGTAAACACGTAAACTAGCGACTCATCTTCATTCCGCGGAAAAGTGCGTATATACAACCCGTGTCAGATATCCGTCCTTCTTTTTTTTGTTATTATTATTATTCTTCTCAATCACGAAGCGGTGATATATCATTTCTCTCTAGCAGCAGCAGCAGCAGTTTTTCGCATCATTAGTATGAATCTCTCGTTCTCCGCTTATATACATAAACACGTCGTATTATGAATTCCAGTATATCCGAGCTTTTTTCCTTTTCATTCGCCGTATATTAGTATATAATCCTTCGCAGAGTCGTTTCGTATCGAAGCTTAATACCAAGATTATTATTATTACTATTCCTTTAAACCGAATTCGATAAGTGATGTAAAGTGATCGCGCGGCTAAGACTCGCTCCGATGTCGAATAAATATTAATGCCGCTCGCAGCTCAAAGTATCGAGTTTATATACTTATGTATAATATAACATAGCGCGCGCGAGACTTGATTCGGGATTTCGCACTGCTACTACACTCAGAGAGAGAGAGAGAGAGCGAGAGAGAGAAACTGGAGAAGAGAGAAAGATTAATAGTTCGGTAGTGTAGAGTATAAAGCAGGAGCGATCGAAGAAAAGCTCGTAGTGCGCCAAGTTTCGAAAGCTCGCGCTGGAGCTTTTATTATTATCGTTATTATCGCCGCTGCCGTGTATACCGGGAGAGTTGGTGCGCGCGGTTATTATGACTATTATCGCTGCCGCTACCTGTGCTAAACTTCCATTATACAAGTGTATATCTGTATATTTATTGTATTATATACACCGGTGGCGGCGGCGGCGGTGGCTATTGTACGATATGTACCTCTCTCTCTCTCTGCTTGCCGAGCTTTGAAACTTGCTCACTCTCCTCTTCGTGTCTTGCGTTGCGTTGTATAATTGATTTACCGTTGTTAGCGCAGTGAGCACTACTATACTCTTATACTGCTGTGCGCTTAGCTAGTCTCGGCTCTCTACTCCTATACTTTTCTATATGTATGTATGAATGTATGCGCAGTGTATATACACACGAGCGATGATCATACGCGCGTATTTACACTCGGATTTGTCCAATTATGAAACAAACGAGTCGTAGTCGTAATCGTGCATCGTCACACATTTTCTTTTCTCTTTTTCTCTCTCTCTGTCTCTCTCTCTCTCTCTCTCTCTCTCTCTCTCTCTGTGTTTCGTGCATGTCGCGGGAAAATGAAAACATCTTTTGCGCACGTTTGAATAAACGGTTTATACACGTTATACCGAGATGCGCGCGAGTCAAAGGGATTTTTGGAGTGAAACAAACTTTTTATTTTGCACCCGCGCGCTGGTGCGGATACAAAAAGATCGCCCTCGCTCTCGCAATTAGCGCCGTGCTTGGACGATCTTTGGGTGGAAATGGGTTCACGTTTTTTGCGTTGTAGGCCTACATATACACACGCGCGACCTATTATAAATAGGAATCAGAGCGAAAGAGAGGGAGAAGAGAGAGAGAGAGAGAGAGAGAGAGAGAGAGAGAGAAAGAGAGACGAATTCGACAACGATTGAGATAGGCTGCTTGACATTTGACTCTTTTTTTTTTTTGCTTTTTTGCTTCTGTTCGCTGCAGCAGTACCGCACTACCTATATGTACGCAGCCAAAGTTGTATATAATAGCGATCGCGAACATATGTGTAGAGAGAAAAGAGGGTAGAGATAGGACGACGACGACGACGACGTCGACGTCCCGTGATATCGATTGCCCCTTTTTTTTCTTTTTTCCAACTCATTCTATACCTGTACGCCAGAGAGAGAGAGAGAGAGAGAGAGAGAGAGAGTAACCGAGCGGATCAAGGGATGTTATATAAACTTCTTTTTTAGACCAATTAAATCCCAACTGTTTGCGATCACGGTTTTCTCTCTTTTTACCTCACTTCTTTTATATTTTCTCTCTCTCTCTCTCTCTCTCTCTCTTTCACTCAACTTTATTTTACTTTTCTTTCATAAAGCGATATGTCGATAATTAGTCACTTTGCTATACATAAAAGCGGCCGCCGCTCACTCTTCGGCCCATATATAATATACGTCGCGGCATACATAATGTATCCGATATCGATATATATGGGTCAAAATAATACTTTTTTACAAAACCGTGCGCACGTATGTCACCGATCTTGACGCGCTTTTGGTATGTTATAGTACATGGTAAAAAAGTCCCAAAAAAAAATTTTTAGACCCCCTCCCCCCTCCTACCCCCCACTTCCGGTATAAACGTCCATTTTCGATCTATATTTTTTCTGAGGACATGAAGCAAGTAAAAAATCTGAAAAAATTCATAAAAATACTTTTCCACAATCCAAACAACCTTGAATTTTTTCAGATTTTTTGAGTGCTTCAGGCCTTCAGATAAAATCATTGAAAATTTCAAAAATCGAGATACGGCGGTATGAGCCGATGTAGTACTCGGAAATTTTTTCAGTTATTTTTCGCATTAAAAAACATAACCTCAATTTTTTTCAGATTTTTTCAGATTACCTAACGCACCTTTTGAAGCCAAAAACCGATTTTTTTGACGAAAATAATTTTTTTAGGACAGTACGGAGCCTCGAAAAATCTGAAAAAAATTTTTTCTTGTTTTTTTCATCAAAATACGTAATCTCAAATTTTTTCAGATTTTTTAATTGAAGGCGATAGCTTCTAGGGCCGAAAAATGCTATTTTTAACAAAAAATGGTTCCTAGAACCCGATGGTTCCGGTGAAAAAATTTGAAAATATTTTTTTTGAATTCCTTGTCAAATTTTAATAAATTTTGACCGTTTCAAAAGTTCGATTGAAGCTTCCTAGCTCATTTTAGAGCAGGACAAAGATTAGTGCAAAATATCTGAAGACGTTTCTGAAGACATTAAGGAATGATAAAACTCGTTTGATGCTCTAAAATGAGCTAGGAAGCTTCAATCGAACTTTTGAAACGGTCAAAATTTATTAAAATTTGACAAGGAATTCAAAAAAAATATTTTCAAATTTTTTCACCGGAACCATCGGGTTCTAGGAACCATTTTTTGTTAAAAATAGCATTTTTCGGCCCTAGAAGCTATCGCCTTCAATTAAAAAATCTGAAAAAATTTGAGATTACGTATTTTGATGAAAAAAACAAGAAAAAATTTTTTTCAGATTTTTCGAGGCTCCGTACTGTCCTAAAAAAATTATTTTCGTCAAAAAAATCGGTTTTTGGCTTCAAAAGGTGCGTTAGGTAATCTGAAAAAATCTGAAAAAAATTGAGGTTATGTTTTTTAATGCGAAAAATAACTGAAAAAATTTCCGAGTACTACATCGGCTCATACCGCCGTATCTCGATTTTTGAAATTTTCAATGATTTTATCTGAAGGCCTGAAGCACTCAAAAAATCTGAAAAAATTCAAGGTTGTTTGGATTGTGGAAAAGTATTTTTATGAATTTTTTCAGATTTTTTACTTGCTTCATGTCCTCAGAAAAAATATAGATCGAAAATGGACGTTTATACCGGAAGTGGGGGGTAGGAGGGGGGAGGGGGTCTAAAAATTTTTTTTTGGGACTTTTTTACCATGTACTATAACATATCAAAAGCGCGTCAAGATCGGTGACATACGTGCGCACGGTTTTGTAAAAAAGTATTATTTTGACCCATATATATATGTATATTATACTCTACATTATGAATTAGCTTTCAAGACCAATAGAGTGAAAAGTCAAAGGCAAAATTTTACGCGAGTAGTCGAGAGTGCTGCGCTTTCTATCTTTAGTTATACAGCGTGCAGGATAGCGCGGAGCTTGCGCGCGCGGACCCCATTACGTCGCACAATTATCGGATTAAATATGTTTTCACCGAGGTTACTTCACGAACGTCCGCGCATACGACGAATCGGGTCACTTTTGCCCGCGAGCCGCGATCAAAAGCGCGAAGAAGACCCGACGCATTATTATCCTTGTTACATATAATATCGAAATGCAATCGGGCGATATGGAGCTTTTGAATTTTATATGACGAGCGCGGCCGGGCAGAGAGTACAGCGCGAGCTTAATTAAAGTGATCGAGTGTGTGTGTGTGTGTGTGTGTGTTTGTATGTAGGACAATGCCTCGCGGCCCTTGTCGATTTTGAAGTAAATAGGTTTACACGTACATACACACACGTATTCTAGGTACACCGACGCGATTATAATGCGATCGAATGATAAATCTCTGCCGCACCGCACTTTGGGCCAAGCGTATATATGTATGATTATATTAAAGTTAGATTATGGCTGTGTTTGCCCTCGCGGCGCGGCCTTATATAAATATATAGGTCGAAATTCATCAATGACATTTAGCCTTTGTTTCATCAATCAATTTGCGCGAGCGTACGCATACGTACGATCCTTTTTCCCTCCATTTTAATTACTTCTGCCCTGTACAAAGCTCACGCGGCTTATGCTCTATCGCGATGATTGAAAACTATAATTGCTTTCTACGACACCGAAGATCGATGAAAATGTAGTACGGTATCGATTATGCGTATATGATTTCTACATTCTCACCTGACTAGCGAAATCGTCGATCCTGTCGGTCCTGTCCTCCTCGTCCACCCTGATCCCGGCGAAGCTCGCCTCCATGCGATCCATCCGGCCCTCCAGTTTGCGCGCGACGTGGCCCAGACCGGCGTAATCCGCCCTCAGCAGCTCCATCTCGGCTCTCGACTTGGCTCTCTCGGCCATGTCCTCGCTGGCGTTGTTGGCGCGTAGCACCTCGGCCAGCTCGGCCCTGAGCTCTTGCACGGCGTCGGCGAGCCAGCGCAGACGTAGCCGCTCGTTTTTGTTGCTGCCGCTGCTAATGTCCGAGCCGCCACCGCCACCAGCAGCAGCAGCGCCGGCGTCGATGTTGTTGCCGCTGACTGGGAGGGCTGAATTTTGGCGCAGATAGATCACCTCCTTCCTGCAACGACACGAGCACGCGTTATAAATGGATCATTGTTTATATATTTTCGTAAGAGAGAGATGATTAATTATTGAACGTGTCAGCCTCCTGGCTCGTGTATTTTGTGATGGAGCTTCTATACATTCTCGAAGAGCAAGATAATGACTTTACCAATTTTCTCATCGATAAAAACAGCAAAGGTGCCAAGCTTGCATCGAATTTTTACATGTCATTAATTGCCATTTATCTTCAAAACCCTCAGTGCCTGAATAGTAATCGTCGATATAGTAGCAGTGGCATTATATATATATCGCTCGAAGCGTTTACAGAGCTCCAGCTGCGAGCTTTAATTCAAATATTGAATAGAGAATTCGACGGCCTATACACAGCCACGAGGCTTAGCCGCAACAGATCAAACGCGACCATACAGACTCTCTCTCTTGAGCTTGCAAGATAAATACTGCCGCGCCGCACCGCCGGTGGTGGTGCAGTAGTACAATACAGCAGCAGTAGTAGTAGTAGTAGTAGTAGTAGTAGCTGCAAGTCGAGTTCGGGGATCCGTGTAAAAGCTCTCGGTTCGCTATATATACATATAACGAGGCCTTTAATATAATATTCGTACAAGCCCACAGCTGCTGCTGGCTGGGCTCGAGTGGTACAACACAGAACGACGAATCGCTTCTTTGTGAGAGAGACGTAATCGCTTTATATATTATTATTACTATTATTACGTGTATAGACGTGCCGACAAAGGATATGGCGCCTTTGCGCTGCATAAATATCATTACAGCGGTACGATCTTCAAAGATGACAAAAAAAAAGCATTTGCACCGGGTGCTCTTATTCCGCAGTAATGCATCCTTGTTTATATGTATAATATAAGAATTAGAGCTTTTCTCTCGACTCGCGAAATCGGATATTCGCGCGAGCTCATAAATAATTGAGAGCGACGTTCGCGTGCGTACACGAGCTCTTCGAGGATTTAGCATTTCTTCTCTCGACTTCGCAGAGTGAAAAGATCATTCCGATCGGGGCATGGCCTTCCGACTACGCCGTGTATATATAATATATATATACGTATTTATAAAACACCCCAAGCTGCTGAGATGCAGCAGTGCTGCGCGCGGACCTTTCAGAGTGCCGCGCGCAGAAAAATCTTTCGTTAGCTGCAGAGCTAAAAAGAGAGACATGGACTTTTTTTTTCATGCGCAAGGGTTTTTAAATATAAATGTCAAGTACTCGAAGGGGCAGCGGCATAAAGCATCGCAGCAGTAGCGGTGGTACAGAGAGAACCTCGCGTAACGAAAGACCCGAGTTTTATATATACCTACGTACACACACATATAAATTTTCGCTCTGCGATTTATGTTATACGCGGCAAAGGTCTCCTCGCGCGCTTTGAGCCGAATTAAAAACCCTTGAGACGAGGGAAAGAGAGAGAGATACGGTGTATGGAGAAGGAAGAAGGAACGACGCGAAAGGGGGGTTATATAAAGAGGATTGTATACTGCGCCGAGGAGAAACGGAAGTACGAAAAATGCACATCGCACACACTACTACTAAAAAGGCTTGAAAATACTTATTACTAAGTAGTATATAATAAGCTCTATATATACTCTATAATACTTCGGAAGTCAGTCGGTCCCAGCTCTCTTTTTCTCCCCTTGGGGTACTCCGCGCGCACGACTCCTCTTCCTCGCTCGCGCGGCCGAAGTAATTATAATTATATACGCGCTCGTGCAAAAGTTAAAGGAAAAAGCTAAAAAAAAAACAGAGGACAGACAGAAAGGAAGAACGAAGCGAGCCTCTGTATCAAGGAAGTTAAGGAGTAAAGGGGGGGGGGGGATAGAGCGTGCAGCGGCCAGCGCCGCGTGCGCCACTTGTACATCCTATCTGCGTGTATCCACGTGTGTATAATGCACGAACGAGAAAAGCTCCCTTTTTCCTCCTCCACTTGCACACGTATCACGCGCGTTAACGTTACGGTGGCGGAGCAGCGCATATATATAGATCCTCCCTCGAGTCGCTCCACAGTCTCTGTTCTCTGCGGTTGCTATTTATTTTTCGGCTTGACTCGCCGTGTGTGTGTGTGTGTGTGTGTACGTATGTGTACCTCGAGACCGCGAAGCGACTTGCGAGCCTTGGCTAACTCTCTGGCTTTGCTTTCTTTTTACCGCCGCGCTCCACTCGCTCGAGTGTCTCGCTCTAAATTTAATGAAATCTCCTCGGTAATGAATTGAATTTAATTCGCGATTGTGCGCGAGTCAGAGTGGCGCAGAGGGCGAAAAGTGTAAAGTCGGTATATGTATTCCTATATATAACAGCTGCTGCCGCTGCCCGAGCACGTGACGCGCTCGCTCGCGCCAATTATTCATCGCTTAAAAGTTACACTTTATATCGGTACAAAGTGTATACTTAATATATACGGGGCTGAATTAATTAATTGCCGTTCATACACGCACGCAGAGCAGAGAGCATTAGCAGCGGTTCGATCGAGAGTCGAGAAAAAAATGTTATAAAAAATTTAAATCATCGGAATCGCGCGCTACGTAATGCGCCGAACACTCAATTTACTCACTTGGCATCGTTATTTACCTTTTAATATGTTTTCTCGCGAAATTAGCGTGGCCTCGATTTAATGTCAAGCTATATTATGTATTTATAATAAATCGAGTCGCGCGTTTCGCAATGTATATCTATAGGTCGTGTGTGTGTACTTTAAAATATGTGTGCCGCGGCAGCTGTGCCATCGTCGCGTGTACCGGAGGACCAGCCAGTAATTGGGTATGAATTTTTTTTTACCTCCACTTCTCTATCTGTATAACGAATATGTAATTTTAATTCGACGATGATTTATAAGCGCTTCGAATATTATTTATATTTATTTTTTCTTTTAATGAGGTACCTCTCTCGAGTGTGTGTACGGTTTTTTTCTTTCATCTCTCCACTGCTGCGCTCACTCGCAAGAAAATATGAAAAAAAGTAAAGTGAAATAAAATTGAAGAAAAAGAGAGGGAAGAGCAGCAGCGGCAGCAGCAGCAGCAGCAGCAGCAGAGGAAGGACGTCCTCCTCTCTCTCCGGAGACATATTCTTCGCGCTTGGCCGACATACACGCTGCAGTGGCTTCAAGTATTTTATAGGACTCTCTTGACTACTTATAACTGTGTGTGCAGATGGGGGTAGGGAGGCTAACACGTGCACTGCGCTGCAAGCTCGCCTCGTCTCTCTTTCTCTCTCCTCGTCGCCGACGAAGGCAAAAGTTTACGGCTCGACTAAGCTGGACAATCAGAAATTACGATATAGCCGCGCGTACATACAAGCGACCATATAGTGCAGTATATAGGAGGCAAATATGGTTGAGCTGGAAATGCATGCATGTCTCGGTCCTACTTGACCCCCATCTACCTGTGTTCTTCCCTATATAAATATGTGCTATATAACGTGGAGAGAAACAGAGTAAACCTAGGCGAGGTCCTTTGGGGATTTTCGCGCGAGCTCGACGAGTTTGTGTGCACGCGCAGACTCACACAGACACACGTATGCATATGCTGGTGACTTTTTTCACACACGAATTTTACATATACGTATATATGTGGACGCGCGTACGTACTGCTGATCATGCAAACGAAAAAATTGTTCCCATATATGCAACAGAAATGAAATCAGCATACATATAGAGCGGAAATAGGAACGCGGTGGCGGTGCCTGTAGCTGCTACTATTTTCGGAGTGCATCGGCGCGAGCCTCGCGCGTATACTCCTGCTTACCGCGAAAAATAAAATCCAAAAAAAAAAAAAAAAAAAAAAAAATGTTGGCTAAAAACAACTTGGTTTTATGGGTACGTGCATCGCTCGATCGATGGCGAGAAATAAATGAACCCGCAGCTTACGTATGGTATTTTCGTATTAAAAAAATAATAATAATGATGATAATATAGGCCGGGGCCGAGAGCTTTCCATGAGCTTTTTTAATTACTCGAAGTAATATAGTGTACAGTATAGGCACAGGGGGCTTGGTTCGAGTATTATATAATATAGGAGAGCCCTTATATATAGCTGTTGTCGGGTCCTCGTAATTTTCGTTAATTATTATCATCGTTACTTTGGGTTCCGAATGTCATTATAAATATCTCACACAAAATTTTATATCATTACATAGACTGTAGTGAAGCTTCACTGCCCTTCGATCACGATGAAAAGCTCCGCCGTCAGCGTGTGTCGACTTATAGCCTATACACATTACACACACATACGCGTCTCTTTTCATTCTCTCTCTCTCTCTGTTGGGTTAATTAATCAAGCCTTCCTCTGAGTGCGTGTGCACATACAGATACGAGCCTATATGGGCTATATCGCGTCAACTGTCTCCCCCCCCCCCCCCCCCNCTATATCGCATCAACTGTCCCCCCCTCCCTTGGATCAGAGTTGTAATTTGATTTTGATATTTTATTCTGCTTTCCAAGAGTCAATATGAAAAAATGATTGAACCATGATTTTTTATGTAAAATTTGACGAGGAATTCAAATTTGATGTCAAAAATCATATTCATAAACTCCAAGCACCTTAATTTCTTACTTTCAGTCTCAGTGACAAAAATAAACATGTTCGTATCGTTAATATGTGTATATAACATATGATAATTATGTATACACCAAAATACAACTTCTGATAAATTGTTGTCATCGGCAGACAAACAGACTTCGTTATTAACCTTCATATGTTCCAATAAAACATGATTTTTCTCTAGATTTCCTCTATTCTTGACACATATGAAGTTCAATAATGAAGTATGTTTGTCTGCCGATGACCAAAGTTTATCAAAAGTTATATTTGGTGTATCGATGAACATATTCCAATACTGGCCACATGGCTGGATACGAACATGTTTATTTTTGCTACTTAAGCTAAAATTTTAGTATATTTTGGGTCCTGGGTGGGTCAACTTCCTCGCGGACTAGTTGCAAACGATATTTTTTAACTCTGCTTGCGAGAAACTAGGGTTTTCTGACGCTTTAAGGT